TATGAAGACTTTAGTTTTAATAAAATGTGGCTGCTGAGCACACGCCTTGGAAGGATTGCCAATCAGCTTAGGGTGTAAGTTTGTCATTTCCAATCGAGACGTGTGCGACGTGCACTTGACGTACGCGCATTTTCCAGGTGCACCTAGTTAAAAAACATCTGAACTTTTCCGAATGCCGTGAGCGCATTGCGATTTATATTAGTAGAACTGTTCAATCTGCTTCACACTTTGTATGAAATATACACATTTCAGTAATACCGGCAGAGTAATTACCTCAGATAAACACATAGCACCCAAACACTGCAGTGCTCCTTTACTTTTCTACTTGAACTTGTATCAGAGCTGCTGCAATGATTTGTCTGTTTGTCATCCTCTGAAAAAATGGTTGATGGTCAGCTAGTTACAAAAGACACCAGGAGAGCACGAGCTCAAAGTGCATAGAAAATGGTAAAGGAATCCACATGCTCACGCTCGTCACTTCAAGTCAGAATAACAACGCATGCGAAAATGAGTGCAGTGGCTAGCAGCAGTAAGGAGATTGTAAATAAAAAGAATGAAAAGATGTGGTCAGAGTGGCTTTTTGGTTTCTTTTCTTGTGCATCCCAATCACTAGCTCCCCATCTTAAAGACTTTTAGCATAGGGGTCAATATATTCATTCTACTTCACAATTTGTAACGTTTCTGTATGTATTTGAATAATGATGGTTCGTTCCTTTAATTGAAAGCTCAGATTTGATTATCATAATTTGTTTTGACAGTTTGAGGTTTACTGTATCATTATTATTGGCATCTTAAAGTTTGCTTTGATTGTTCAGTATTTACGCTTTACCACACACTTTGTAACATTTTATTTATTACGTTTAAGAGTCTCTTTAACACTTGTGTTATTTTATTATAAAGGGATCAGATATTTAGTTAAAATTAAAAATATTTGATAAAATATTTATTATAAAAATGTATTGTTAAAAAATATTCAGTAATTATCGATAATGAATTAAATGAAACATGATATTGTGATCATTTTTTTTTTGCAAAATCTTCCATAAATATGAGCACTGTAAAATACAAAGTATAGTTATGCGCATCTTTCAACACCCTGAGACTTGTACATGAGATGCACAGCACTGCCTTTTGTTGACATTAGTAAAGAGCTGTGCGCTACTTTTTTATGTTACTAGGCAACCACTGTATTTGTCTTTGTGCTGGAGCGCGTGACATCGAAAATGTGAGATTTTCAGTTAATTCATATGGAAAATTAGAATCTACATTCACGCAGTGCAATTTCTAAAGTAATGAACTGAACATTATGTAGGGCGGCTCAGTGGTTAGCACTGTAGCCTCACAGCAAGAAGGTCGCTGGTTCCAAGTTGGCTTTTCTGTGTGGAGTTTGTATGTTCTCCCCGTGTTGGCGTGGGTTTCCTCCAGGTGCTCCGGTTTCCCTCATAGTCCAAAGACATACGTTGTAGGTGAATTGAATAAATGAAATTGGCTGTAGTGTGTGAATGTGAGAGTTTATGGGTGTTTCCCAGTACTGGGTTGCAACTGGGAGGGCAACCACTGTGTAAAACATTTGCTGGATAAGATGGCGGTTTATTCCACTGTGGTGATCTCTTATGAATAAAGGGATTTAGTCGAAGGAAATAAATGAATGAAAATGAGCTCACAATCTGCTCTATTGATGACATGATGACGTGAGGCAGTGGTGTCCTATTCCTTAGGGGGAGACTTCTACCCCTACCTCTGTTTCAAGCAGAGGGCTAGGTGTATAAATAGATTTGGGGCTAAGTTTGTCACTCAAACTGCATTAAGTTTTTCATTTTGAGAGTCCACCATGGGTGGTTCATTCCGCTGTGGCAACTCTTGATAAATTAAGGGACTCAGCTGAAGGAAAATGAATGAGTTCACCTTGAATATCTTATATCTCCCAAACTGTTTGTGTCTTATCCTTCATGACTACGGATCAGCTCATAATACGTGTTTGTACTGGAAATATTTTAGATCTGTCAGGTCATTTGTTGTTGCTGCTGTTTTACCTGCGTGACCTGTCTTATCTGTGCACAGAGAAACGAAGATCTGCTGGCTACAGTGTTGTTCAGCAAGAAAGCATAACAAATAAAGCATCATTTCATTTACAGCACACTGTTTTCCTGCATATCAGCATATCAGGGTTACACATGTACTATTTTGTTTGCTGAACTGTTGTAGAAAATGAATAAGCTGATATTGAGTTTCAGTTCAGAGACCATAATGATACAATATTCTGTTTTTCCAAAGAAAATTGTTCCAGATTCAGCTAATGCTGGATCGACACTGGTGCTTTGTTCTTGAACTGGTCTTTTTAATGAAAGTATTAAGGGAATAGTTCAGTGAATGGCATTGAGTGTGTTTACAAGCACGTTCTTAAGCCGATTATGCTTGATCAGCAGATGTGTGTAATGTCATGTAAAATCCTTACTAGGATTTTTTTTATCATTTAAAAGTCAAAACAGCTTAAAATTTGAACGGAGCAGGTATTTTTTGCCCAACACTCTGATTTTGGGTTATATGTGAATGCCTTTATCTGCGTTCTAGCAGTTTATTTGTGTGTTCATGTCTGACTTTACACGTACCATTCAGTACACAATACGTTCTTGTCTTAATAAAGCTTAAATTGTGTCATCCATTTACATAGTTGATGAAGAATCATCAAAACATAGAAAATTTGCAGTACTGTTAAGTGAAAACATTCAAGAGCAGAAAATAGACAATATTTTGAAGAAAGCTAAAAAACATGCAACCATTGGCTTCCAAACTGTTTGATTTTTCTACAGTGGATGATTATCGGTTTTCATCATTCTTCAAAATGTTTTTGTTTGTGTTTAACAGAATTTAGAAAGTCAAATAAAGGATGAGTTAATGATGAGAAAATTTTAGTTTTTGTGTGAACTATACCTTCACACAAAAACGAAAATAACTGTGCAGTTCTCAGCTTTGTAATGGCAGTGAATGGAATCGAAGCTTAGGCCTTGTTTACACTAATAATAATAATAATAATAATAATAATAATTCCTTACATTTATATTTTCTGGGCACTCAAAGCACTTTACACACGGTTGGGAATCTCCTCATCCACCACCAGTGTGCAGCATCCACCTGGATGACGCGACAGCAGCCATTTTGTGCCAGACCGAACATCACACACCAGCTGATTGGTGGAGAGGAGACAGAGTGATAATATGCCAATCATGGTATGGGGAGGGTTGGGAGGCCATGATGGACAGAGGCCAGTGAGCAGATTTGGCCAGGATGCTGGGGTTAAACCCCTACTCTTTTTCGAAGGACATCCTGGGATTTTTAACAACCACAGAGAGTCAGGACCTCAGTGTAACATCTCATCCAAAAGACTGAGCAGTATCCGATTGTTAAGTGTGACGTCATGCGGAGCGGCTTCCGGGTCCAATCGCTCTTTTCAACTGAACGGGGAGACTCATGAAATGTTAATAATAAACGTTTACAAAGCAATTTAATACTTTCGAAAGTCACGATCGCAATATACATGTCCATGCCTAATATCCGATGACCAGAAAGTGATTCATTGTTTTATAAATTGTAAAAATTTTGGTATTTGTTATGCAGCAAGCCCAGAGATTGTTGTGTACACTATGACTTTATGTAAAATTAACTTTAATGTGTGATAGGAATAAAACGCGATCATAAACGAATGATTTCTCCACTCAAATGAATGGCGGCTTGGACCCGGAAACAGTATTACATACGTCACAAACACGTCACCACTTAACAAGCGGATAGAGTCCCCGTCACTATACTGGGGCATTAGCACCCACACAGACCGCAGGTTGGGTGCCCCCTGCTGGCCTCACTAACATCACTTCCGGCAGCAACCTAGCTTTGCAATGTGGTCTCCCATCTAGGTACTGACTGGGCGCCCTGCTTAGCGTTTTCATTAGTTTTGCAACAGTTATGCCATCCATCCGCAGTACACAGGAGTTTTTGAGTGCCAAAAACGGAGTGTTTTGGAAACGCTGAAGAAGACGTTTTCATTCTAAAACGCTGCTGCTCCGTCTCAGTGTGGATGGGGGAAAACGGACACATCTGAAAACTGAGGCGGGGCTGCTGACATTCCCCTCTCTGATTGGGGATTTTCATTAATATTAAGTAGCCTACAAGCAGTTCAGTCCTACATCCTCTCCTTGTAAGTTCAGACTTCGCAAGTTTGATATGGAAAACAGACTGCTGCATATATGAGCGTCAGCTTCACTGTGTGCATATTTATAATAAAACGGAGCCTATAACAACACTGCCTCCTGTCATTTTCATTGAAAATACGAAAAATAGCCTCTCTTCTGCTGAATATCAGTTTTAATAATCACTAATGGCCATTATAAAAGTATAACGTACAATAAGTTTATACATTATAAAAAATAAAGGCAAGTGATTAGTCAATATACAGAATGTACGTGGTTACATTAATTATTAATTTATCTTTGCGCACAGCAAGTACACAAGTAATAGATTCAAAAGACTAAAGTTGGAGAATATGTCGTTAGAAATAGAAAACAAGATGAATTGAATATCACGTTTATCAAACATAGTCAGATTAGATCCAGCGGTGGATCCTTGATGAACAGTCTGACGAGCACAGCTCTCATCTGGCTAAATATGCTAAAGTGCATGCCAGAGAGTGTGTGTGTGGTCACGTGATGTGTTTTCAGTAGTGTGGTGTAGACGGAGAGCTGTTCAGAAACGCTGGGTGAAACACTACTGTGGACGCGGATCGTTTTCATTCTAAAACGCCATTTTAAAACTAAAACGTACTAGTGTAAACGGGGCCTTAAAGGGCCATGAAACCCCCGTCTCAGCAGGGGGTTTTTACACCTCTAGTTTGAAAAAAGTCCAGAGTCCAGCTTTGTTTAGGTGAAAGTGTCGCTTATATTTTTGCCGTAATCTGTAGGATAAATACATCAACCATTTTTGTAAATGCTGTTTTTGCTGTTCTCCAGGGGGCTGCAGATTATGTGAAAGCCCACCTGCCGGAGGCTCTAAAGCAGCAGCTGCAGGCGTTCGAGAGGGAGAAGAAGGACAGTCCTCTCTCCTACCCCTCCATCCTGGAGCAGCGCATCCTGGCCGTGGACCGGGACATGGTGGAGAAGTTCTCTGCTTCTCATGATGAAGCAGGTCAGCAGGAGCAGCATTTGTTTTAGCTCTATCATCCATCAGACTGTGCACAATGCTGAATCGCTGCTCTTTTGTTTTTAGGCACAACATGTCTGATAGCCTTGCTGTCTGACCGCGAGCTGACTGTGGCGAATGTTGGAGACTCTCGTGGCGTTCTCTGCGATAAAGATGGAAATGCTGTAGCCCTCTCGCACGATCACAAGCCCTACCAGCTGAAGGAGCGCAAGAGGATCAAGAGAGCAGGTGAGTTTTTGACTGATTCAAGAGTCAGGAAATTAGGTATTTATAAATGAGGTAACATGAGTCGTTTTCACGATAACAGATTACAGAGGATGAATGGAGAGATAGAATAATAGATCTTTGAAAAAATAGATTGATGGATGCATGGATGGAAGGATGGATGGGACGATGGATGGATGGATGGATGGGACAATGGATAAATAGATGGATGGGACGAAGGATGGATGGATAGATGGATGGATGGGATGAAGGATGGATGGATAGATGGGACGATGGATGGATGGATGGATGGATGGATGGATGGGTGGATGGGACAATGGATGGATAGATGGGATGGAACGATGGATGGATTGATGAATGGATGGGTGGATGGATGGGACGATGGATGGATGGATGGATGGATGGATGGATAGATGGATGGGGCGATGGATGGATGGGACAATGGATGGATGGATGGGACGATGGATGGATGGGACAATGGATGGATAGATGGATGGGACGAAGGATGGATGGGTAGATGGATGGAACGATGGATGGCTGGGTGGATGGGACAATGGATGGATAGATGGATGGGACAATGGATGGATGGATTGATGGGTGGATGGATGGGACGATGGATGGATGGATGGGACGATGGATGGATGGATGGATGGGACGATGGATGGATGGACGGGACGATGGACGGATGGATAGATGGATGGACGATAGATGGATGGATGGATGGATGGGACAATGGATAGATGGATGGATGGGACGATGAATGGATGGGAAAATAGATGGATGGTTGGATGGGACAATGGATGGATAGAGAGACGGATGGATCTTTAGGAAAAGGTTATAGATCTTTAGGGAAAAGATGGATGGATAAATATGTTCAAAGTTAAACTGTTAAAGTTAAAATCTTTTTTATTATTAGTTTCCTATTCTATCAGTTCTATTTTATTCAAAAGCAGTTTTCTTAAGTAACCATTTTTCAACGAATTGTAGACGTTTTCTATGAGGCTCGCATGTTGTGCGACATGCCACCATTCAGTGCTTAGCAGTGTATTCAAAAGAACATAAAGACCGCTTGACGTGAAGTAAATAAACCAGTAGAGATGTTCTGATGTTGATAGCGTCAGCGTGTGCTAGCGTCACAGTAGATTTCCTATGTAAAATACCATAACTTATAGTGGTCCCACTTTATATTACGTGTCCTTAACTACTATGTACTTGCTTAAAAAATAAATACAATGTACTTACTGTGTTTATGATGTATTTGAGAACACTTGTGGTGCTTTGGAGTTGGGATAGAGGTTGGGTTATGAACAGGTTTGGTGGTATGGGTAGGTTTAAGGGTGGGTTAAGGTGTAAGGGATGGTCAACAGTGTATTTACAAATGTAATTACAAAAGTTAAGTGCAGATGTAATTACATACTTGTATTTAATCAAGCATAAGTACATAGTAAATACATGTATTTACACAATAAGTACATAGTAACAAACTATTAATTCCTGTGTAAATACATATTAGTTTAGGCCCCTTAATATAAAGTGGGACCCTTATAGTGAAGAGCATGATGTTTTTACGTGGCCGAGGGAATTAAGTCATCAATTATGCTTAGTAAAAAAATCGCACGTTCCGGTTCACGCACATCTATTTTAAGGTTGCAAATTCAAGCGAAATGGTCACACTGTCGATCACTGGAATATGCTGAGTTCAGCGGCTAATCAGCTGGAATCAGCTGAGGTGACATGACGGCGACCAGTGAGAACTAGCCCTTACTCAAGTAACTAAGCCCTTAATTATGCAGACTTAATAGAAATGAAACATTTCTATTTTTTTGTACCAGACTCTACTTTTATTTCAGCTGTAAAGTTGGGCATTTTAAAGGGTCACGAAACAACAAAACACATTTTTTGAGCTGTTGACAGTCGTATATGTGTCCCACACTGCTAAAAACACTATTAGGACACCTATATTTCACTAAAAAGTGTAAATTGGTTGTTTTTGCGTTATTTCAAGCAAATTCGTACTTCCGGTTTGAAACGAATTTTTGAAGCTGCGTCACGGTCATGACATAATAGCGTGTATTCCAGCGTGCAGACTGGGCGTCTGTGCCAGAGTGTGTCTTATTACGTCTTACAGTGTGCTGCATTAATGCATGAGTAAGGCTTGGTTCAAACCAATCAGCGCGCTCTATTGTGCAAATTCATTAATTTTCATTACTGTCAGAGTGTAGACGGCAGAGACGCCACGTTGTGTTGGCAAAACAAGCGTAAAGTGTTGCTTTTATAGTTTGCTGCAGTTAAGTTTTGTTTTCATTTTCTCTCTGTGAGAGCTCAGCTGGCGTCACGCGTGGATTAACAGTGTACGCGACGCGCGACAACAATAACTTGCGTGTCTAAGGAGGATTATTGTTTACCTGAGAGCTGTTCTCATCTGCAAACGCTGAGATCCGGATTCGCTTGTAGTCTCTTCTTAATAAAGACGCGGCTCTAGTTGCTGGTGATTGTCCTGTCTCTACAGATTTGGTAAGTGAGCGACCAGTGCTCTTTGTTTATTCAGTTCGTATTATATTCGTATCAAACAAACTATTGCACCGAGTGTAAACAAGTTAGCACTAACAGTTACAACCAAACTATAACCTCGTGTTGGATTTTGTGACCGGAATAACACACGCGGCTTTCTGACACTACCTGCCGTGTGCATCTAAATGCTGAAATGCGGAAATGCTGAGGTTTTTTTTCTCTCATTCGCCGTGCAGTATCAAACATTGCATGAAAAATACACGCTTAGAGCAGTTCCTCGAATCAAATATCATGTTTGTCGCGAGGGACATGAATGAATTCCCTGAATGAAAGAGCCAAACTGCAGTTAAAGTCCACCATTTAATAATTTGGCAAATAATTCGACTACAGATGTCCTTGTAAACACAGTCACATTGTCCGCTGTGTGTGTGTGTTTTGACTGAAATTCAGCGCGCCCAAATAGACACTCCCACACCAAGCCTCTTTTCTTCCTCCGACACTCCCCCCTAAACAAAGCTGGACACGCCCACTTTTCTGACTTTTTCCAAAGTAGAGGCGTGAAAACACCCTGCTGAAATGAGGGGGTTTTATGGCCCTTTAACAGTGGACTCAATTTGCTCTTAAGTAGCCAAATTTTATTGAATTGCAGTTTTAGTTTCTTCCTTATTAGCTTCACGAGGGAGAGCAGGAGGTCGCTGCTTTGGCAAAAACAGCCACCAACATAATGAAAGGGTAGTACATTTGCACAGAGTGTATTGTTGAAATTATTTATTTATTTTTTACATTTTGAAAGCATTTTCCCAAAATGACTATCAAAATGAGATTTGTCATCAAAGATCATTTCATTTGCTGAAACACAGAGAAAGTTGCAGCCAAATTAGGACTCAAAATCACCCCAGAGCAGATGAAATCTTCCCAGCAGCACATACTGTAAGGGTTAATAAAATGTATTTGATTTTTGGAAATCACCAAGCCACTACATCCACCTTCATTATCTCTCGACCTTCATTATCTCTCGACCCCCATTTTGGGATTATATTGAGTTAATGGATATGATATGACCAGACTGTTCAGTTTGTTCATGTCACACTTCCTACCAGTTCTGTAATCTGCGTGAATGACACCCATCTGTCATCTTCTCCATCAGGAGGCTTCATCAGTTTCAACGGTTCATGGCGTGTGCAGGGCATCCTGGCCATGTCTCGCTCACTAGGCGACTACCCACTGAAAAACCTGAACGTGGTCATCCCAGACCCCGACATCCTGACCTTCGACCTGGACAAGCTGCAGCCCGAGTTCATGATCCTGGCGTCAGACGGCCTGTGGGACGCCTTCAGCAACGAGGAGGCCGTGCGCTTCGTCCGGGAGCGTCTAGACGAGCCGCACTTCGGCGCCAAGAGCATCGTCCTGCAGTCGTTCTACCGCGGCTGTCCAGACAACATCACCGTCATGGTGGTCAAGTTCAAGAGCAGCTCGGCCAGCAAAACTGCAGAGTAGCCTTTCCATCAAGCAGAGGTGAGACGTTGTAATATAAGAGACAAGCCAAAAGCATTACAATAGATGCATGTGCCTACAAACACATGCATACCCAGATTCTTCTTCTTTTTTTGGTGTGTGCCAAATGGACACTTGGGGGGGATATGATTTTTGAATTGTTTTTCAATTCCTTACACTGTAAAGATGATGTATCCTGGCCTTCCGTCTTATACAGAGCAATATTATTTGTGAAACGGCTATCGGCTTGAATGGTAGAAAGACATTTATTGCCTTGAAGATGCACTCATAGATGTTTGTTCAGGATAAATCGCGTAAACATCATAACTTTTTTTATTTTGAGGTCAATACGCAGCTGATGGAACCATATCCAGCTCTTAAATTTGGATGTACACTGAAAAATTTTGAAATTTTTTAAGGTAAATGGTTGCAAAGAAGGAATATAGGCTGAATTTGAACATCAAATTAGGGTTAACACTACTTAATTTGATCTATTTGATTTAATTCAGCTCATATAAATAGTTTGCAACCACTTACCTTTGCAAAAAAAAAGGGTTGATTGGATTAACTCATTTTTTTAAGGTAAGTGGTTGCAAACAGTATATATGAGCTGAATTTAAACAAACAAATTTGTTTGAACACTGCTCAATTTATTTTATTTGTTTAAATTTGGCCCTTCTATATTGTTTGCAACCACTTAACTTAAATAAATAGAGTAAATCCAATTAATCTTTTTTGTTTAAGTGTACATGATCCGCTCATATCACTTCAGGGCATGTATGCCAATGTACACTGGTGCTGCTCATCAGTTTGTGTAAATGTGTTTGGGATTAAGTTTGCGTTTGATTACGAATGTTAGACTTGATTTAACGTCATAACCGGTCCCGCTCATGATCGTCAGGTTTCTCCTGTGTTTAGGTCACTGTTTTAATGGCTTTATGCATACCGCAGTGGACGGATTTAGGGTTATATGATGTGTATTTACTTTGTGAAGACTGTTGGGTTAATACTGGCTTACAGTTTTTCAACTTTCCTCTTAAGAAGTGTTACTTAAATGTTAACCTAATTAGGAAAAGAATTGGCACAAATCCCCGTCTACACAAAATCTGAATTTCTTGCACTGTGTGAAATGTATGTGGGAGATTAAAGCGATTAAATAAACCTTACAAGTCAAGCGAAAACGAATCGTTTTGGTTTTCTTTAATAGTGTGTGTTTGTGTGCACATGTCACAAGAGTAGCAGTGCGATATGGCTGTATATCGGCACTGGTGGGAGGTGTGCATTGGTTCGAGTGACGGTATATAGCCATATTGCACTGCAACAAGTTTGATGTCATATAGAATATAAAGTCATGCTGCAGTGGAGAAAGAATTAATACTGTGTATGACTCCCATGAGCTTAGAGGACTGCATCTATACATCTCTGCAATGACTCAAAAAACTTCATAAAGTCATCTGGAATGGAGGACTCCCAGAGTTTATCAAGATCCTTTGGATTCATCTTCAAAGCCTCCCCCTTCATCTTACCCCAAACATGCTCAATAATGTTCATACCTGGTGACTGGGCTGGCCAATCCTGGAGAAACTTGACCTTCTCTGCTTTCAGGAACCTTGATGTGGAGGCTGAAGTATGAGAAGGAGCGCTATCCTGCTGAAGAATTTGCCCTCTCCTGTGGTTTGTAATGTATTGTGCAGAACAAATGTCTTGATACCTCAGGCTGTTGATGTTGTTGTCCACTCTGCAGATCTCTCGCAAGTCCCCATACTGAATATAACGCCAAACCATGATTTTTCCTTCACCAAACTTGACTGATATCTGAGAAAATCTTGGATCCCTGCGGGTTCCAACAGGTCTTATGCAGTATTTGTGATGATTAGGATGCAGTTGCCTTATGCCACTTTTCCAAATGATCAACTAGAAGTCAAGTTATTATTTGTTGCTCTCACAACTGGGATGATTGACAAGACTTTTTGTCAAGTAGTGTAACTTCATTTAGCATCGAATATTCAACCTCAACCAAAATGATGATATTAACAGAATCTCAACAGTGATGCCACTCTAATATCTAAAGAGTGACTCTGGTGTTTAGCTGGTTTTAGCTTGTCTTAACAGCTGCTGAGACCAGCTAAAAAGAGGGGTCAAAGCCCCTCTAAAACCAGTCTGACCTGATTAGGCTACATTCTAGTGTTTTGTTCTCGTCAGCAGAGGTGGTTCGGCTTGAGCTCATAAATTAAGAAGCAAATATAAAACGAGCACAATAATAGCCATATGGCACATGTGTCTGTTTGCATTCTTCCTGACACACCGAAGGACACACGTATTTTCACATCCCGTACACGGTAACCATACACCGCACGTGTGCGCAGAATTGTTATGAGGTTTTCTGACCTTATGAAAAGCACACATCGCATATTTAACTACATTTAATACTGACTAGTGCGGTTCCTCTCATAAATCATGACGACAGTTCTGCTGCCTTAAATTTTGTTGAATCAAATTAACTTTTCTAGTCCTCTCAACTTGCATCTGTCAAACGCAAAATATTAAGTTACAACTTTTGTACACCTTTAAAAATCTATTTAATCAAATTAAACCTGATTCATAACATCAATTATTTTCGGTATACTCGCGTCGAGTATGTAATTGTTTTCCATGTTAGCGTTTTGTTTTCTTCAGTAGAGGTGGTTAGGCTTGAGCTCGTAAATTAAGAAGCAAATATAAAACTAACACAATAAAAAATGTCAAGGCTGTTTGCATTCTACCCTGATATATCGCAGGACATATTCCATATCCCGGACACGGTAACCGTACACCGTGCCCGTATACCATTTTGCGGTTTTCTGTCCTTATGAAAATCACACATCATCACATATTTAACTACATTTTATACTCTGAATGCCAAGCCTAAAAACGGACTAAAGCTTATCCTGATGATGGCGACATTTCTGCTGCTTAAAATTTAATTGAATCAAAATAACTTTTTTAGTCATCTGAATTTACACCTGTCAAACTAAAAATATTAAATTACAACTTTGTATAACTTAAAAAATTTATTAAATCAATTGAAACCTGATTAACTGATTAAAATAATCGTATTTTTTACAATATAATTGTGTCGAGTATGTAAATCGTTAGCATGTTGTTCTCCTCAGCAGAGGTGGTTCGGCGTGAGCTCATAAATTAAGAAACAAATATAAAACGAGCACAATAATAGCCATATGACACACATGGATGTTTGCATTCTTTCTGACATACCGCAGCACACACGTATTTCCACATCCCGGTCTCGGTAACCGTACACCGCCCGTGCGCGCAACATACTGGGCTTTAACGGATGCTGGGCAGTCCATCGTGACAACCGGGACCAGGTGTAAAGCCTCAGAATAGAGTCCAGCACTAAACCCTCTAAGACCGGAGCCTGTTGTCAGTGAGTAAGCCTTCTATAAATCTGCACATACACACTCACTCTTACTGGAACTGACACACATAGTAGTTCCGTGGCTGCTGTATAAAGGTGCGTTTGTCGCCGAGTTTAGCGTAGTTTACAACACAAGCAAAACATGGGTCAGTGTGGTTCAAGGAGTTCTGATTTTAACGAGTTTGCTTCGCTTACGACTATAAAGTTGTGCGAAAAGCGCATTTGGCAGGGGAAATGGCGACCGGACGCGGGTCAAAACGAAGCCGCTTTGGAGAGACGCCGGCGCGGCTGCAGCTGTCACGGAGACTGCCCTGGACTGGTTTTTGTGGCTGATACAACTGGAGGGGTGTGGATTGATAAAACCATCGCAAGGCAAAGGTGAAACTTTGAATGTGGAGCTTTGCTCCTTCTTTTTTCATTTATCTTCCTGAAATCCCTTCTGAGGATTACTAAATGATGAGCCATTGTCATTTTCACTCAGTGGAAGTTGGATTGTCAGATATGCCAAGTATTTTTTGTTCGGTTTTCGCTTGGCAACATTTCTTGACAGACTTTTTCTAGACATTGTTTGCTTTAAGAGATGTTTTTAAGCATGTGTGCTGGTTATAACTGCCATTCATGTGGTCAGCTGATGAACAATGAAGACACCATCATGCTTTGGATCACATGCCTCTTGGAAACAGTCTTAACTTTGAACCTTCAATTATTTATTGATTTTTATTTATTTATGCTGAAGCAACTTGACTTCACGTCAGAATCCATCACATTTTACTTGAAACTGGACCATTTCTGTTTTCATCCTTGATGAACTTGACACAATATTCCGTGAAAGTGTTTTTGTTTTCTTTAATCGTGGAATATTCGACTCTACATCTCAACATGTACATTAATAGATGTGTTTGTAGACATGGACACCGTTCCAGGCATTCTTAGCATATCATTAGGGAGGTGTCCTGTGATACTTTGACCCATTAATCATACAGAGCTATGATAAGCGAGTTATAATACATTACTGAGTAACGCAGACACCCTCTAATGTAAACTCACATTTGCTGAGAGAACGCCGTGAGAAGTGTTTGTGTGAACGTCTGACATTTCACAATGGGACATTCAGGATCCAGGCACAAACCCGAAGCACGTATACTCCTCCTAGGACTGGACAATGCTGGGAAATCGACTCTTCTATACAAACTGAAATACGATGAGAACTTCCACACGGTTCCTACCATCGGATTCAACGTGGAGATGATCGAAGCCAAGAAGAACCGGGATAAAATCAGCCTGACCGTGTGGGACGTTGGAGGTCAGGCCAAGATGCGAGCGTTCTGGAGGAACTTTTACCAGGACACGGCTGGGATTGTGTTCGTCGTGGACTCCTCTGATGTTAAACGTCTGGACGAGGCCAAGGGCGTCCTGGAGCAGTCCCTAAGAAGCGAGCACCTCAGGGGGCTCCCGGTGGTGGTTCTTGCCAACAAGCAGGATATTGTAGGGGCTGCAACGGTAACCGAGATCACAGAGCAGTTTAACCTGAGAAAGAGCTGCAGTGACCGAGACTGGTTCATTCAGCCGTGTTCGGCTCTGACCGGAGCGGGTCTGGTGGACGGTTTCAGACGAATGGCACACCTGGTGAAAATGACACCCGACGACAATAACATCAAAGAGACCGTCAAGTATATAAGAGCTAAATCTGTTATACAAAAGAAGTAGCGCCTGTGGTCACTCATTAACCACTTTTATTGTAGGCTCAGTGCTGTCCTGACTACAGTGGGATGTAATTACAGTACGTGCAATCCTGAAGTGTTCAAAACATGCAATATGCTACCTTGACTTGCAAAATATCACTCAGAGATAGATTATTATAATGACCAAGGCTGAGTGAGATATAGTTTTATAAAGAAAAATGTCTCCATTCTGCCAAAGTAAAATGTTTATCATGAATTATGACTGTAAAGTACTGTTCAGGGTCATGTGAAAGGATTCGATGAGAAACGAAGGGTGTTTTCACTCTTGGTTTGCTTTAACTGAATTGATTATGTCTGTATGGTTCATTTTAAGCAAAATATTGACCAACAGCTGACCCGGTACCACAAAACCAGTCTTAAGTTGCCAATAAAATGGGTAGAAATTATGGATTTAAGCCAAAAATGATTAAAATACTTATTAGGGCTGGGCGATTTGGCCTAAAATCAAAATCTTAATTAATTGAACATTTTAACTCGATTACGATTATTAAACATTTACCTATTTAAATTTTTTTTTTGCCCTCATAGTTTACTGACAAGTTTTATAAGCCGTCTAAAGGCATCTTTGGCGTAGCTTCCAATCACCGTCAATGTAGTGCAAAGTAAGGCTCAAGAACAGGGGTGTCCAAACTCGGTCCTGGAGAGCCAGCGTCCTGCAGATTTTAACTCCAACTTGGCTTTCTTGAAACATCCTATTAGGTGTGTTAAGGCAATTAAGAGCTTGATTACGTAACCCAGGTGTGTCTGATTGGGGTTGGAACTAAACTTTGCAGGACACTGGCCCTCCAGGACCGAGTTTGGATACCCCTGCTCAAGAATGAGTCCATCATCCTACTTGACCAGAGATCAGATGTGGCTGCAAAGTGGCCGCAGAGGTATAAATTAGCCTCGGCCTTTAACAGAGAGGGGTCACGTAACACATATGGAAACTAATTAAAAAAAAAACGTTCTGGAAAATTTAGGTCAATTAAAGGTTCTGAATGTCAATTTACTTTTTGATTGATCGCCCAGCCCTAATGCTAAGTAAAAATCATCTTCTACTGTAAATGTCCAAACTCAATTATTGATTAGTAATGTGCACAGCTAAGCACTTCATTAAGACCAGGGGTGTCCAAACTCGGTCCTAGAGGGCCGATCTCCTGCATATTTTAGTTCCAACCCCAGTTAAACTCACCTGAGCCAGCTAATCAAGCTCTTTCTAGGTGTCCAAGAAACTTCTGAGGTTTGTTGAAGGTAGTTGGAACTAAACTGTGCAGGATATCGGCCCTCCAGGACCGAGTTTGGACACCCCTGATTTAGACATTTAACATTCATATTTAGTGGATTTATGTCTGCAAATACTCTCGTCTTATCCTAACAAACCACCAATAGAAAGCTTCATTTTTCAGCTTATGTACTTTAGTCAACGTTCAAAGTGAATCAAAAATTGTCCCTGGATAAGAATGGGTGTTCAGTAGTTTGGTTAAAGGTGATGATCCATTTCAAATGTTGACAAGTGTATATTCAAACAAAGAAAACGTATGACTGGCTTTGTTGTCCTGGGTAAAACACGAGCACAACATGAACCAAAGAGATCTAAACAGAGTTTTCACAAGATGTAACCCTAGAAAGGACTGAAAATTTTTGTTTTTTTACGGGTGGGCAGGAGATGGGGGGGGGAGAGGGGGGGTATGGGGATTAGTCCTGAATCCCTGCGAAATGTTTTCTTAAGTTATAATTCATGAATTTATTTATTGAGATGTGCTGCGAAATGTTTTTCATGTGCTAAAAAATGTGAATGTGCTGTTTTGTATTTTATTTATTTGACAGTTTTGACTTTAGACTTGAACCACACTTTTTTGTATCTATAATTCATGAGCATATTAATACAGCATATTATTTAAACAGTTTCTTTAAGGTGCAGTTTTTACTTTCACTCAGAAAAGGAAAGTTATTTTAAGGGGCTATAGAAGATTTATTTATTAGATTAAGTGCACTCCTGAGCTGTTTTTTTCTTTTCCATTGCAAATAAATGTTTAAACAATGTTCTGAATATTTCTCCATTCTGAATAGCACTATAAAGTTTTCTACCTGGTGCATGACACGATCCAGTGCACAGGTGTCAAACTCAGTTCCAAAAGGGCCGCAGCTCTGCACAGTTTAGTTCCAACCCTAATTAAACACACCTGATCAAACTTATTGAGTCCTTCAGGCTTGTTTGAAACCTACAGGTAAGTGTGTTGGAGCAGGGTTGGAACTAAACTGTACAGGGCTTCGGCCCTCCAGGGATTGAGTTTGACACTCTTGATCTAGTGGGTTGTCTTCAGTCATTTTTAAATTGGGATTTTAGGAAGCATGGATTTGGACAGGGGAGCGGCTGGGTTTTAAACAGACCATAACCAGCTTGTGTTAAGACAGATCACCTACTGCACCCTTTAATATTTTAGCTTCATCTGCAGAATAAATTTTGCAGACTACAAATTTGCCCTTGAATAACATTAAGCCGTGGTCACTACACTTCTCAGACTTCCATTCACACACACACACGTGAATGCAGTAGACTGGAAACAAGCTTGTGCAACATGTTGCAAAGTAGATGTCAAGTTTGGGGAACTCTGACCTGTAAAATAAACTTGCATGATTGCGTGGCGCCAATCAAAAAAAAAAAAAAAAACCTTTACGGACAAGTTGTAGTCTAATTGTTCGGTTGATTTCCACCCTGTTTTGTAGCACCATACAACAGCTTCCCAAGCTCAAACTCTAGTGTAACATGACACTAATCCATTAAATGGACTTGAGCAAACAGGGAAATCATTCCATCATTAGTCTTTTCTTAGCAGTCTTGCAAAAAAAATAAGAAAAAAAACTAAATTGTTTGAAAGAGACCTCATGCAAGCAAACACCTTGGCTCAAAGATTGTGAAATGGACAGTTTGCACTGTCAAAATGAAACAATTGTTTAAAAATTATTAAACATTTCTACAAAGAAACTGTTATAAAGCACAAAGATAAAATTGAGATTTTATAAAACATTTTATTTCTCTTTAGAAAAGGTCAGTCACTAAACGTTTCTCCTCATGCTCGTTTTTTCCCCAAAGTGGGTCATTACTCAAACCCACTTCCCTCAGAGTTGAAAAGGTCAGAAACATTAAATATGCTCTTCTGTAACGGACTGAAGCTTCTAAACCTTGGAGCCGGTTCCAGCTCATCCTCCACAGGTCTCATCTCAGTGAAGTTGAAGACTGGCTTCTCTACGAAAGATGCAGCAAAGACATTGTCCAAGCCAAACCGGGGGCCTCCAGCTGACTGGACACTGGTTTCTTGCTTTGATTTCAGAAGCAGAGGACCCACGGTTGCAAATTTCATCCACTCTGTTTTTAAAAGACCGGAAGCAATTTAAGTCCCAGATAACATTAAACTGAAGACTAAGAGGACATCAAAACTGTGCAAACCTTTGTTCGAGTCAGTCCCTCTCTTCGACAGACCACCAAAGGCAGGTGACTTTGACTGTATGAGAGCATTGAAAGGTTCCACTGACTGACCTGGTCTCACATTAAAGAAACCAGCAGGCCCTGGTTTGGGGGCCAAATTAGGCTGCTGGACTGGAGAGGTCAGTGCGATGTGGAAAAGCTGCTCTGGTTCAGACGCCACTGGTTTGGACGGCTCACAGGTGTTACATACCTCATCATTTCCATCCACTGACCGCCACCTAAAAAGTGCACATAAGTCTTTCAAGTAAGAGCAGTCATGAAGATTAAAACTGCCATCCATTTAACACATTACCTTTGGTCAATGAAAGAACAGGCCCGATTCTTAGCACTCACAGAATATGCAGCAGGGATGGCCTTCATGTGACAGTGGATGTACACCTGTATTATATAAAACCAGAAGACAACTACCAAGTTGAAATTTCCACAATGGTGTATATGAACAGCTAGTGTTTAACCAATTATAAACTTCCAGTGAATGAAAGCATAAGTGACTTAATTTCATATGGTTCCTTTCACAGCATCAATTTTGTGACAATTACATGGTTAAATTTACACTGGAACTACTAAAATGCTTGCGTTCAAGACAGCAACCAATAACACCATCAGGATCAGCAGGCAAGAACTAGAGTATCCCAATACTTTCAAAGGGGGGGGGGAATAAAAAGATTTGAGCGTCCATTTAGGCTAACTGCAAATAGCTCACCTCACCTCATTGGAATAAGCCAATTGAGTGATTCCCACCAAAATTTCATTGACAGACAACATGACTAAAGAGCACGACACGGCAGTATCAGTGGTGTAGCACAAAAGCGCATGGCAACTTTTGACACGATCATGAATCCAGTGTCTGAACTTTTTTTTTCTCTTCCCCCCCCCCACGACAAATATTGCCTACTCTTCATCACGAGGAAGACAAGTAGGAATCATTAACGTATTATAGAAGAATCCGATTCATAGAACTGGATTGGAGGTGTCATATCCAAATCACATGCATTACAAGTGTGTAGAAGTGATACATTACAAATACCCTTAAATATAAATAGTACAGCTTCAGTGAATTTGAAGTATATTAAAATCCACTAATTTTCACTAGTTTTATTAGTACCTCCCCCCCAAAAAGTGCACTTTACAAATTAAATATGTAGACTAGAGGTGTACTGAATTTCATTTACTTTCAAAATGCAGGCAACACAATAAATTAGTTCTATTTTAAAATGGTTATATATATATTTTAATTCTCTTAATTCTTAATCCAGGCATGCAAGAGCAATTAGTTCGGGTAGGGTTTAACTAGAGCCCAAACACCACATTTCACACCACTGAATACAGGTTTTGGACAAGTATGAAACTTGATTCATTGAAAAATTACAAATTATGCACTGGAAGACCAAAGATACTTTCAAGGTCACAAAACACCTTCTCTACAAGAGGTAGAAAGGGGAATACATTGGTCTAAAAACAACAATTATGAAATATTTAATATAATTCCGAAGTTCAGCAAGTATGCTTGGACTTTAGGCAATTAGTCAAGTGCAAATGTCAAAGCATTGTTTTCCTTCCAAATAGGAAATGAATGCATTTCCACCAAGGTTGAGCAGCTGACTGCAGTATTGGTAGCCAACTGTAAACAAGCACAACTCATCCAAAGCCCCCCCCTCATGAGTGCATAGCCTTTACAAACAAAGGAGTTTTAACGTAAAAATTGTTTCAAATCACTCTTCTCATGGGACTCAGTACGCATTAGCACAGGGTGATGGAAACCCAGCTACATGAAGCACATTTCTTCTTCGGCTAAAAATTACAAAGAGTGAAGTTTCTCACCAAATTGCCTGTGAACTTGTGAAACCTAAAGGCATCCAGTTGTAGGTTTAGATGATTTCCTTCGGTTCTCCGCATGAACATGGAGTTAGAGTTCGGACTCCTGCTATCTGCAAGACATCTGAAAGCAGACCACAAAATTTAAAAGCTCAACGTCAAATAAAAAATAAATAATAATACGCAAACCAACTAATATTGCCAACATGGACATTGTTTCTGTAAACTCAGGGTCTTGCTCCCTGTGATCCAACTAAGCAGTCTTGGAGTTGAGCTATGCTGAAGTCCCAATAAAAGGAGTTATCTTCCACAAATAAATGCATTAAATCTTTAAAAAAAATGATGTACACTAGGTGACAAAGAAACTGCAGTTTTGGCAAAATAAATTCTGAACAACCTCAGAGCACAACTTGAAGGTAATAAGGTAAGGGTTTTAGTGCTGCTATAGAAGCAAAACATTCAGAAGCACCATTAGTCACAATTGTTTTTCAAAGTCACTTAATAAAAAAAATATATTAAAAAAAATAATAAAAAAAAAAAAAGGAACAAGATAAAGTTTGCTAAAAATAAAAACCTCACCCATGATGCTTTATAAAGGAGTATTTGACTTCACTGGCATCCACATCAGGAGTTGGTGTAGCCACACACCAGTCGATGAACACAAGCAGAGGCAGGTGATAGGCCAGTCTAACTGCAGCTTGAAGGTGAATCTCATCTCCAAGGAAAAAGACATTTGAGCCCCTCTCAAACTGCCAGTCATCTAGGGGGAAATATAAATAGAAAACACAAGTAAACCACCAATTAACCGAGAAGTGGAATCTGGAATAATACTGTACCAGTCATCAGCCGAAGACTAAAGTCCAGATAATCTGTGGCTGAAACGGAGGCATCAAATGGAACCCAAGCAGGCCTCACTGCTGCGCTGTCAACACTGTACCGTCTTCAACAGTTTGAAGTGAAAGAAAGACATGTACATTAATAGAAGCTCACACTACTGATGAAATGGTGTGGTCTGTAGAGTTCACCTCCGGTATTGGCACTGGACAGGTATGGCTGCACCATTGGTGTAAATTACACCATCAGGAGATGGTAGAGGAGAATAGACAACAACATTGGAATACAACAGAGAGTCTGCGTTTACCTGCAAGAATTAAAACCCCAGATTAGCTTGAAACGCTGATGAAATCTGCATGGTGTTTGGTTCAGTTCTCTATAGATCCACAAAGCTGTAGTATAACCATGTAAATCACCACAAGAAACAAAGCAAATCAGAGATTACGCAATAGCCAGTTTTTTGGACACCAATGTGTAAAGCGTCTGACAAGTTTGTCAACTTTTTGGTAACATACCAGAGAATGGAGTCTATACACTAAAAAGGTTAAATATTTACAACCTAAAATAAGCAGTTCAGTTGATTAGCAAAGTTTGAACAATCGCTTGCATTATGCACAATTTATTCATTTTAATAGAAGAATAAAATAAAATTTTATTAGCCCTCCTGTGAAAGCAGTGTAATGTAATGGACTGATGATGCGACAGCAGCCACAGAAAAACAGTGCCAGGACACTCACCACACACCAGCTGTAAGTGTAGTGGAGACTGGGGAGGACATGGGTAAGGGCCGATGGAGGGAATTTGGCCAGGACAGGAAGTAGACTAACCTTTTTAAACCAATTACTTTTCACCATGACAATATTTTATGATTACTAATACTCTACCTAGTTTAATAGGCTTTAGCTATGTTAGTTAAAGTCACTGGACATTGCTTTGATATACAGTTATATGGTTTAATTGGCTGCAGAAGGGGATAATATTGACTTTGTTTAGATTCTCCAGAACAACAATATAATTAAATAATTCTCTCTTTCCTACCTCAATTTAAATAAAAATTAAAAAATAAATATAAAGGTCATCTTAACTACAACTTACTATGTTTCACATAGGTATGGGCTGGTATAAGATTGACAGTAGGATAACCTTGGATAAAAATTGTCGCAGTATTGCGATTACTGCTAAAAAAAAAAATTTAAGTGTCTGGGTTTATTTATTAAAAAAAAAAAAAAAAAAAAAAAAAAAAAAAAAAAAAAGACTCATTGTGAATTTTAATGAACAAATAAAATGTAATTTCTGTGTAATGTTGACTAAAGCAACATTTTATATTCACAAATTTAAATAGTTCTTCTCGTTTCAAAGCATTTAAAAGTGGTTTTAATATTTTATATAAATCCTTAAAACATGTAAAAACAAAAAAGGTGCCTCAAAGCCCTCTAAACTTTTGTCAGCTAATATGGACTGACCCCACTGAATGCAATGCATTTTTCTTTGGTATTATTTAAGGTTACTGTTGTTACTAGCTTGCTTGGATGTTATAGGTTCAGCAATGACAGCTGAAAATGCCTGTTATTTGAAGGTTCAAAATTATTATTATTATTATTATTATTATAAATAAACTCTTCAACTATCCTAATAAAATAGGTTCACAGGTTGTTAGGAATCGAATACCTAAAATTTAAACGGGCAACTAAATTTGTGCACCATTACAGACATAAAAATAGTAAATAAAATGGAAAAAATAAAATAAAAAACTCGGGTGTTGTAAAGTTTCACAGGTAGTCGTTGCCCCTAGTAACGTTAGGCTAATCAGTATGACCGCTAATGAGTTTTACAGAGAGTTAAAAACCGTTAATGTGGTCTTACAGACAGTTGTGTTCCGCAGTCTTGGAGTGAAGCCCGTATAGTGAGCGGTCCCGGTCCCGTTGACACAACCCCACATGTTGGAGACGCTTCGGGCCCGAGCCACAGCTCCTCGGCAAACACCGGCAGACCGCCCGCTAACAGATCAGGGTTTATCACGAGCTCTATCGCCTCCGCACGGCAGTACACGATCACTGCCTGGGGAGGAACCGGGTCCGTTAATGGCGTCTCCTTAATCTGCGGAATCGTCACCTGAAACTGAGGAACCGCCGCCTGAAACTTGGGTACCGCCGCCTGAAACTGAGAAACCGCCGCCTGAAACTGAGGCACCGCCGCCTGAAACTGGGTGCTCAGCAGCTGCTGGCTCACGGAAGATCCTCCTCTGTGATGGTGTGGACCATGGTGAACGCGAGAGTAACATTCAGCGATGAGAAACACTGAAATAAACCAGGCTAAAGTGTTACTGAACCCCATATTGCCTGCTGACTAATTAAACCGCAAATACAGGCTGCTATCGCCCATCCAAATCAGCTCCAGCTCGCTGCTTTTAACTGGGATTACTGACAAACGCTTCATCACCCGCATCTGATTTCTATTCATTAAGACTAATTAGCTTGCGTGTACGTAGTGTTGTTAATGATGATGACACACCTGTGCTGAGATTGGGGACGGGATTTTTAAATATGAATAAATGACATTGGATATCTTAATTTAAGCTTTTTTTTAATGAAAAAAGTTATAAAATATATAATAATAGCTTTTAAAACTCATTAGATCAGTGGTTCTCAAACTTTTTTCATCAAGTACAACCTTAGAAAAAATGTGTCTCTTCAAGTCCCACCAAAATGAGCAGTATTGAAATACAGTAGCGCAGTACGCCCAGTAAAGCAGCTACAACTCTGCAGTTAAAAAAACGTGGCAGATTACTTCAGAAATATAGGCTATATGTCATATTATATACATAATTTTCGATAAATGTTGAAATATGTGTAGTATGTACATGATATATTGCATTCCTCCGCGTACCACTAGAAGGAAGCCTGCGTACCACTAGTGGTACACGTACCACAGTTTGAGAACCACTGCATTAGATAATCTGTTAAATGAAGTGCGGTTTTTATTTTTCAAGATGATGGAGTTTTAATATTTACAACTGAATCCACTTTTATTTATGTGTACAGCAGCATGTCATGGGGATTTTCAGGTATTTAAAGGCCATGTACCACTAAATAACATTAATCATAAAATGTAAAAACCATCTATTATGGACATAAACATCATAAATGTCTAAAATGTTAGTTGGAAAATATTAATTGTATAAATTAAATTATATGGTTTTACTTCCTATAATACCAAATTTAAGATTCTTTTTAGTAGGATAAATGTTAAAGGAATAGCTTTGTCCTGTCATCAATTGTCGCTCTAAATAAATATGAAGTATTTTTTAAATGTAATTTTTTTAATACAGCTGAAGTCAGAATTATTATCTCCGCTTTGATTTTTTTCTCTTTTGAATATTTTCCAAATTATGTTTAACAGAGCAAGGAATTTTTCACAGTATGTCTGATAATATTTTTTCTTTTGGAGAAAGTCTTATTTGTTTTATTTTGACTAGAATAAAAGCAGTTTTTAATTTTTTAAACACAATTTCACAACTAATAGCCCCTTTAAGCAATAACTTTTTCTGATAGTCTACAGAATAAACCATCATTGTACAATAACTTGCCTAATTACCCTAACCTGCCTAGTTAACCTAATTAACCTAGTTAAGCTTTTAAATGCACTTTAAGCTGTATAGAAGTGTCTTGAAAAATATCTAGTCAAATATTATGAACTGTCATCATGGCAAAGATAAAATAAATCAGTTATTAGAAATGAGTTATTAAATGATGTTTAGAAATGTGTTGAAAACAATGTTCACTCTGTTAATCAGAAATTGGGGAAAAATAAACGGGTGGTAATAATTCAGGGGGGCTAATAATTCTGACTTCAACTATACATATATATATATATATATATATATATATATATATATATATATATATATATATATATATATATACATATATATATATATATATATATATATGTGTGTGTGTGTGTGTGTGTGTGTGTGTGTGTGTGTGTGATTTGATAGATTGTATCAAATGCCTAACTTCGTGCAAAAAATTATCTTCCTGCTATATTTACCAATAAAGTACCCTAAACAATTGATCTATTTACACATCTATCATCTTTGAATAATTGATTTATTTTTGTAAGCCTATTAAATATATTTTTATTAATTATTGTATCGTTTTTTTTTATCATTTGTACTTCATAGTAACTACAATGGTCAGACAGAAGTTATTTTTGTGCAAAATTTTGTTAGGAAAATGGATTTCTGCAGAATGATTTTGAGTACAGAAGCTGAAATCTTAACAAATAAAATACAAACATTCCTTTTCATTTAAGGTTTGAAATAATAATTTAATCCATTATAACCAAAACAGAAAATATAACATCATCCAAACATCTCAAGAGGTACATATTCTCATATTTACAGTTGAAGTGAGAATTATTACCCCCCTTAATTATTAACCCCCTGTTTATTTTGCCCCGATTTCTGTTTAACGGAGAGCAGATTTTTCAACACATTTCTAAACAATAGTTTTAATAACTGATCTCTAATAACTTATTTTATCTTTGCCATGATGACAGTAAATAATATTTGACTAGATTTTTTAAGACACTTCTATACAGCTCTATTTGTGACATTTAAAGGCTTAATTAGGTTAATTAGTCTAACTAGGCAGATTAGGTTAATTAAGCAAGTTATTGAATAATGATGGTTTGTTCTGTAGACTATTGAGAAAAAAAAATTGCTTAAAGGGGCTAATAATTTTGACCTTAAAATGGGTTTAAAAAAAAAAAACTGCTTTTATTCTAGCCGAAATAAAACAAATAAGACTCTCTCTCTCTCTCTCTCTCTCTATATATATATATATATATATATATATATATATATATATACACACACACACATAATCATTCATTTTCTTTTTGACATGCAAGTCCCTTCATTATATATATATGTGTGTGTGTGTGTGTGTGTGTGTGTGTGTGTGTGTGTGTGTGTGTGTGTGTGTGTGTGTGTGTGTGTGTGTGTGTGTGTGTGTGTGTGTGTGTGTGTGTGTAAAGAACATATCCATAGTTATAAACTTCTGTTTCTGATAAATGTACATTTATTCATTCACTTACCAATTTATTTTAATTATATGTTTATTCTTGGTGGCGCAGTGGAAATCACGATCACCTCACAGCAAGAAGGTCACTGGTTTGAGCCCTGGCAGGTTCAGTTGGCGTTTCTGTGTGGAGTTTGCATGTTCTTATATAGTATCTAGGTTGCTGTCGGAAGTGATGTTAGTGAGACCAGCAGGGGGCGCACAACCTGTGGTCTGTGTGAGTCCTAATGCCTCAATATAGTGAAGGGGGTGCTGTATTGCTAATGAGCGTCTTCATTCAGATGAGACGTTAAACCGAGATCCTTAATCTCTGTAGTCACTAAAAATGCCAGGATGTCTTTCGGAAAACTCCTTGTTAAAACTCCTTGTTCAAGCTCTTGTTCTCTCCAAACTGGATTACTGCAACTCTCTACTAGCTGGGCTTCCAGCTAACTCTATCAAGCCTCTTCAACTGCTCCAGAACGCAGCAGCACGAGTGGTCTTCAATGAACCTAAACGAGCACATGTCACTCCGCTGCTAGTCCGTTTGCACTGGCTGCCAGTTGCTGCTCGCATCAAATTCAAAGCTCTGATGTTTGCCTACAAAGTGACTTCTGGCCTTGCTCCTTATCTGCTCTCACTTCTGCAGATCTATGTGCCCTCCAGAAACTTGCGTTCTGTGAATGAACGTCGCCTCGTGGTTCCATCCCAAAGAGGGAAGAAATCACTTTCCCGAAATCTCGCGTTCAATCTGCCCAGTTGGTGAAATGAACTCCCTAACTGCATCAGAACGGCAGAGTCACTCGCTGTTTTCAAGAAACGACTAAAAACTCAACTATTTAGTCTCCACTTCACTTCCTAATCTGCAATTGCCTCTCTGAATATCACACTAACTGTACCCGAAAAAAAAAATACTAATACTACTAATACTTTCCTTCTTAGACTTTACAGACCTGAAACTTGCCTATAGCACTTATTCATTGTTGCTCTTAGTTGTGTAAATTGCTTCCTTGTTCTCATTTGTAAGTCGCTTTGGATAAAAGCGTCTGCTAAATGACTAAATGTAAAATGTAAATGTAAAAAAGTAAGGTTTAACCCCGGCATCCTAACCAAAATTGGCTTCTGTTGATCATCCCCATATCACAATTGGCTTCATCACAGTCTGCTCTCCACCAATCAGCTGGTGTGCAGTCTAGCACAATATGACTGCAGCCAAGTCATACATGTGAATGCTGCACTCTGGTGGTGAATAAGGAGAGGAGAAAACAATCGTCTGAGAACTGGAGGGATATACAGTATATACAAATCTGCTGCCAAATGACATAGTCAAACTTTCTGTGTGGTGTAATCCTCAGACTAAACTGGGTTCACTTGTGTTCATGGCTATAAACCCCATCAGCTCTTTCATGACAACCAATCCCAGTATTAAAACGACAGAGACGAGTAGAAATCCAAGGGTTTATTTTGGGTTATAAAAAGTCCAGAGAAGATAGAGAAATAGACTACAATGTTAAAAAGGCACAATAAATTACTAAGTTCCCCCTGCTGTGCCACATAAAAAATACAAAGGCTTCTCTCCACAAAACTGGAGCGCGGTTTAGCACTTTTTAAGGCAGACGCTTGAGTTTGAGCTTTTCAAACAGAAATCTGAAGACAGTGGAAAAGGGAGAATCAAATACAGGTTGTGGAGTATTAAAAACATTAGGCTTCTTCTAAAAATAAAAACAGGAGAAATTCACCATTACAGACATAAAGCGGTAGATCCTTTCAGTTCTTGCTTCTGGGTTTATGGCATGAGGTATTAACTGGCAAGTTTACAGCTGTTACCCTGCTGCGGCTGCTTCTTTTTCAATTAAACATCATGGCAGTGGTTGTCCAAGCAGAAACGTCACAGGAACAGGCCTGACAAGACAGATGTAACTGTTAGCTTCAGTTTCGGAGTTCTTGCATCTTTCCAGGTCCATTATCAAATTTTACAGCGTTATACAATAATGGCAAATTACATATGCATGCTTCATATTGTATAAGCTGCTATTAGTTATAGGGTTGTATCGAAAAGTATCATTTGTACACTGTAAAAAATATATGCTCAATTAGCCCTGACAGCATTTGCTTTTAGGTCATTAGCTCATTTCACACAGTGACACCGCTAAATATCTGGAAAATTACCGGAACGACTTTACCGAAAAATTCAGTAAAGCGCTGTTCACACTTGACATGAGACGATAACTGTTTTCAAGGTAAACCGCGGTTTGGAAAAGTCAAGAGCTGCGTCTCAAGTGGCACACTATAGACTGAGTTCACGCGGCCGCCATTT